TAGAAAATAATGTAAATAATTTACAAATAATCAAATAATCCACTTCATAACATCCCATCATAATTCCCTAAATGTCTATATAAATAGTCCAAGTTTCTTTATGTGCCTGACGACCATGGGGGAAACACGTCGAAGCGCTTCATGACATTTTAACCAGTGTAATGGTTAAGTTAAAATGCAATTACAGAAGAACAGTTTTATTCAAAAAGGATGCGTAACTATTCAACATAATATTAATATGTTACACATCTTCGCCACTATTTGTCAAATGAACACATAGATAACATTTAGATTTTGATGATTTTGTCTTTTCGTTTCAGGCCAGGGTGCTCAATAGTGGCTTTTACTATTGAGTTAATACACAATAGTTGGGATACCATTCCCATGGAGGTTAGTATATCATAGATGTACATTATAAGGGTATAAAATTGAGCACTATACAAATAAACCGTGCGCGTATAATCCTTTCTTGAAAATGTTGTATCAAGAATGTTCAATGTAGTCTGATAACCTTTGATGCAACAAATATCATGATAAAGTCATATGATACTAGCTACATGTGAGATTTTTACCTGCAAATGACAACAACTGAATCTTCCATTGGTACAATTTTGCTTACTTGATTGAACCAACATTTAGATTGTACGGAGCCCCTAAGGCACAATTGTAAACATATTTATTTATTATTTCGTTTAAACGAAATAATTAATTCGTTTAATCGAAATAATTAATTCGTTTAATCGAAATAATTATTTTGTTTAAACGAAATAATTAATTTATTTAAACGAAATAACATCATATATTTCGATTAAATGAATGAATTATTTCGTTTAAACGAATATATTATTTCGTTAAAACGAAATGTTATTTCGTTTAAAAATAAAAAGATGGGTTAATTATTTCGTTTAAACGAAATAGACGAAAAAATTAATTCGTTTAAATGAATTAATTATTTCGTTAAAAGGAATTAATTATTTTGTTTAAACGAATTAATTATTTCGTTTAAACGAAATATGTGATATTATTTCTAACGAAATAACTATTTCGTTTAAACGAAATAATAATAAAAAGTGTTGAAAATTGCGCTTAAGGGGCTCCG